GACTTTGGCTGAAATTGGGTAACTTATCTATGAGATGAGTCTGATGGTCACCAACCAAAGAGGAGGGTAAAAAGAATGAAATGGAAGATCCATGTTAGGGCCTCATCTGTGGCCCCCACAGGTCCCCAGACCTGCTAGCCCTCAGTAGTCACTAAACCTGTGCTGGGGGCCAATGGGTGGGAGGCTCAGAGCAGCTGCAACTCTGTGAACACATTCTTCTCTTGCTGGCCTGCTCCAGACACCCAGCTTTCCCGTTGTCTTTGGCCACTGTGTCCCACAAAAATGAGTTGGCCAGATAAGTTCACTGTCAAGTCAGAGATACATACGTTCTCCCACATTCTTGTGAAAGCACCTCCAGACTGTTGACACCAGATGCCTGGAGGATGAATAAGGAACTGGTGCAACCTGTTTGAACAGTCCTTCCCAGCAGCCCTGTAATTATAAACGGGCTGGATGCTAGGCCTAGCTGCTGTCCCTGCTCCTGATTCCACAGATGTTTCTTCAGCTGTTTTACATGCAGGAATGGTTGTGGCTCCAGCCTCAGACTTTAAAACCAAGGCTTGTCTGCTGTTGGGTCTTGGGGTTTGGGGTGATGAAAGCCAGAGGAATGCTGAGATGTCTGGCGCACAGAGAGGAAGGTGTGTGACCTGGAGTAGGGCGGGCAGCAGGGGAGTGCTGAACCTGGGAAGGATACTGTGGTCAGGGAGTCGGAGGCTCTGGAGGCAGAGCTTATGAGGAGTGTGACACCAAGGGCATCTCCAGGAGGAGAGCGGCCTCTGGAGGACTCTAGAAAGGAAGTTGTTCTGCTCATTCCCAAGCCTGGTGGAAGCCGCCTGCCTCCCTGCCTCCCTGCCTCCCTGCCAGCTGGGGATCTTGTTACCTCTGACCCCTGTCTGCCACCTGGAGGATGGAGCGGTTCCCTTTTCCAACTTGCTTGCTCTTGGTCCCACTGCTGCAGGAGACCAATCTCACGCCTTCCCTCCAGGATATCACCCCAACTTCCTAAATCTCCCCAGGCCTTGAACATGACACTTTTCAAGATGAAGCCCCACCCTTACAGCTTCTGCACCCACCTCCCCATCTCCAGTTGTTTCCCACATTCTGCGTTCCATTCCTGGTGAACTCACAATGCCCAAGGTAGCCACGCTGACACACCTTCCCTTTGCTGGTGCTATACCCTGTTCCTGGATTTATTTCCCTCACCTTAGCTTGAATCTAGCCAGCCTCCTACCTGTACTTGAAGATTCCCTTTGGATGTTGCCCCAGGATAGCTTTCCCTACCCCTTTCTTCCTAGTGCCCCAGTCCCAGCATCCTGTGCCCAAGCACTGAGTCCCTTAGTAGATGCTTGCTTGGCCCTCCCTTCACTGGACAGTCCCTTAGGAGAGAGAAAGGACATCCCACCCTGCAGTTGTATCTAGGCTCATGTACGTTGAGCATTTGTATTTAGTATCTTAGAATCTGAGCGTGGTTGGAAACATAGATAGTGTCAGACCTAGTTCAAAAATGGGTATTTATGAATCAATCAGTTGATAGGCAAGCAAAACAGCTTTTAAAGTACAAAAACAGTAGGACAGAAATATATAAACATATATATAATATATAAGTAGAACATATAAAGAAAATTATGTCCTGATTGTAATATATGATCAATTTGTCAAATATTTGAAAATTTTTTTGCATTTTAAAAGCTAGTTATTATACGTTGATTTTTAGAAATGTAGAAAAAAGAGAACAAGCTTTACTAAAGAAGGCATGCAGATAGCGAATAGACACAAGTATTATTAGACATTAGGGAAATGCAAATAAAAATCACAGTGAGATAATGCTCCATACTAAATAGACTGTCTAAAATTAACAAAAACAAAACCCTGACAATAGTAAGAATGCAGAACAGCTGAAACTCATGGACGGCACCAGTGGGAACAAAGAATGGTACAGCCACTCTGGATACTAGCTTGGCAGTTTTGTTAAACATGCATGTGCTGTATAGCAATTCCACTCCTAGGTGTTTTCCCAAGACAAATGAAAATGTGCCACACAAAAGACCCACAGATGAATGTTTATAGACTCTTTATTTGCAATAACCCAAACTGAAAATGACCCAAATGTCTTTCAGCAGGATGAATGGATGAATAAATGGTATCCTTGCAATAGAATACGACTTAGCAATAAGAAAGAATGAGCTTCTGACACAGGCAACAAAATGGATCAGACTCAGAAGCATTATAATAAGTACAGAAGCCAGTCACAAAAGCCAGGCTATATACTGTATGGGTTGCTGTGTGCTGGCCATCCTGGAAAAGGGGCAGAAATCACGTCAGTGGTTCTGGGGGCCATGTGGGGAGGGGATGGGCTACATGGGGTCACAAGAGAACCTTGTGGAAAATGGAAACGTTTTGTGCTTTGATGTGGAGGCGGTTGGACAATGGTATCTGTTTGTCCAGACTCATTTAAGTATGTCCCTGTAAAGGGCCTCTATGTAGGCCTTGGTGTGGATATCATCTTAGAAAAGCAGCCTTCAGTAGCTCTGCTCCTGGGAGGATTACAGCACCTTGCTCAGGGAAATGGGAAGGCCACATTGCTCTGTCACCAGTGGTTTATGGAGATGGAGAATTACAGTGATGGCTGTCATGAGCCCCACGTAGGCTTTTCATTTACCAGGAGGACAGCATGTTGCTGGGTTCTGTGGTTTGGTTTGTTCCCATTTCCCATTGGCCCTGTGCTCAGCCAGCTCACCTCCTGTCCCCAGTGGTGGTCACAGGGCCAGCACAGGTTCCTCTGCTGCCTCCAGGACCAACGGAGAGCACATGGAAACCTAAAGCACTGCTTACTGAAACGTTCTTCTGTATTCATCGCCATTTTTCAAGAGTTTGTTTTCAAGAGTTGTCATGTAAATATGTCCAGCAACTGTGTGTGTCCTGATGAATTGTTCCAACATGTGACTTATTTTTTAAAATCCCATGTTTTCCTTTTCCCTAAATCTTTTTCCAAGGGTTCTGCAAATCAGAAAGGCAGAAATCAGAAAGGTAGGCAGGTTTCTGGAGAACCAAAATCCATGTTTTGATGGTGATTACAAATTTGAATACTGTTGGTAACAAGGAGATGAAAGCCAGCTTTGCATCATGGTTTCACACTGACTGTCAAGGCTAAATTGAGGCTGTGGTTATCTTAGCTCCTCTTGCCACCAGGTCAGCAAGATTGAGTTGTGTTTTGTCAGATGTTTTTTTTCATCCTGTTATAAATTTCAAAGTGACAGCAAGGCCCTATTTTAAGGGAAACCAGCACATAATGTCACTTTCAACAGGCTGGGAAAATGCTTGCTTTTGCCATCCTGAAAGGGAATGCTCAGGTATGGAGTGCTCAGGTTCAGTTCTGATGTTCTGATGAGCTGCTGACCTGCCAGCCTCGCTGAGGAGTGATAGCCAAGTCACCCTGAGCTGGGGGCCAGGCGGTCTGTGGAGGGAGCGATCAGAAAGCTGGCCCCACACTCCAGCAAGCCCACTGGAATCTCACCAGGCCTGGGAGAAGGCTGCCCGGGCTAACCACCTTCCAGGGGTGTCACTTTTCACCAGGATCCTGGTTCCTACAGGAGTAGGGTCATCTCAGCCTGTCTAGGGCTTAGTCTCAGGGATAGCCCTTCTTCCAGGTATCGTAATCCCCTTCTCTGCCCTGGCCTGTCTCCATGCAGGGCCAGGCAAAGAGACTTTAGAAAAGGTAAAACTGACAAGGGTTGACTAGGATTTTTGAAGGCAGTGAGAAGAAAAAAATGAAAATATAATAGTTTTTGTATCATATTTCCTCTGGGCGCTCAAATATCAGCAACCTTGTAGCCTTTCAAATAAGCAGCTCAAAGAATGAAATATAGTGAATACTTTGATTTTTATGCCAAATTAGCTATTAATATTTTCTCCGTTATTATTACTTATAATTAAATGAACTAGATGAGCTAGATTCTCCTTCCATAAGGGGGAAAAAAAGTAGTTAAAAACTCACCCTAGCCGGGCTCGGTGGCTCAGCCTGTAATCCCGCGCCTTTGGGAGGCTGAGGTGAGTGGATTGCCTGAGCCCGCGGGTTCGAGACCCGCCTGGGCAGCGAGACCTCATCTTTACAATAAATCAAAAAATCAGCTGGGCGTGGTAGCATGCGCCTGTAATTCTGGCTACTTGGAAGGCTGAGGCGGAAGGATCGCCGGAGCCCAGCAGGCGAGGCTGCAGTGGCCGGGAGCGGCCACTTCACTCCAGTCTGGGTGACAGAGTGAGACTCCAACTCAAAAAAAAAAAAAAAAAAACTCACCTTGCCCCTTGACAGAGCTTTTCCATCAAGACAGTTCTACCTGGAACCATTTGAAAAACTGCCTTCAGCTCTAGCTCAGCCATTGCAGCTGTGGGGTCTTGGCAAACTATGTAATTTCTCTAAACCTCAGTTTCCTCATCTGTAAAGTGAGGACATCTATTCCTACTTGGTAGGGGTTGGCACTATTTGAAGGGATAAAGCACCTAGCATGGTGCCTGACAACACAGTAGGTGCTCAGTAAGTAGAAAAGGTATTCATTGCTACAACTGGGAAGTAGTCTAGCATGTGATGGATGACATCAAAGTAGAAGACTTTGGTTAATGTCACCAACTCTGGGAAACTGGCCCTGGCTCCTCGGCCTGCATGAGATACCACTCTGGGCATCCTCGGCCCCACACCTTCCTCCATCATAGCCCTTCCCAAGCTGGTTGACCTCCCTTCCTGACCCACAGACCAGTCTCCACTCAGTACCTGGCCTAGAGAATGTTGAGAAGCTCCCTTTCATTGATTTGTATGTTCCTGTTAGTAATAAAAACAGGGAGGCTTGTCACCTAACAACATGGGTGCCTTTCATACTGTGGAAGAGAGGTATAGTAAACATGAACCAGGAGAGCATCAGACCTGGTCACAGAGGCCATTTGTGCAGTTGTGAGGGGCAGGCCACCCAGCTCCCCAAGCCCCCGCCTCACAGCTGGTTCTTTCACAGGTCGGGAACTACAAGCGGACCGTGAAGCGGATTGATGATGGCCACCGCCTGTGCACTGACCTCATGAACTGCCTGCATGAGCGGGCACGCATCGAGAAGGCTTATGCTCAGCAGCTCACTGAATGGGCCCGGCGCTGGAGGCAGCTCGTGGAGAAGGGTAGGGAGGTCTGGCACAGGTCCTTGGACCTGGAGGCAGCTACACGCCAGCTAGGGAATCTGGCCTCTCTGTGCCAGTTTCCTCTTATAATATTGGGATAGGAGTGTGTCTTGCAGTTCCAGGGGGCTGTGATTCTTATGGGAGAGTATCAGGGTGCCTCTCACCAGCAGACACAGGTTCCATGAGCTTTTATCCCCTTTCCTTAGGAATGAAATAGCACTCGAATCTTCCATAGCCCTTGACATCCATAGGACATGCTTCTGCTTGCCGGTGTAACTTGGAGCTTGAGGAAGTTTCTAGCAAGCGAAAGGCCTTGCTGCTCAGCACCTTTATTTCTAACATAGGATGCTGTTTGGTTTTAAGCTTGGCTGTGTAGCAAGTCAGATAAGACTGGATGGTGACACCAGCAGGCTTTCTGATTTTGAATTTTAAAGATGTTTGGATCAGGCACAGTGACTCATACCTGCAATCCCAGCACTTTGGGAGGCTGAGGTGGGAGACTCGCTTGAGCCCAGGAGTTGGAGACTAGCTTGGGCAACATAACAAACCTCATCTCTACAAAAACTCAAAAAATTAGCTGGATGTGCTGGCTCACACCTGTAGTCCAGCTACTTGGGAGGCTGAGGTGGAAGGATCGCCTAAGCCTAGGAGTTTGAGGCTGTGGTAAGCCATGATCGTGCTTCTGCACTCCAGCCTGCGTGACAGAGTGAAACCCCAAGTCAAAAAAATAAATAAAGGTGATGTGTGGTGTGGAGGTTTTCCCCTGCCCCTCTCTATCAAAAAGCTCAGAAGTTTCTGCTGCTTAGTTACAGAAGGCCATGGTATGAATAGGGACCTTGCTTAGAGCACACTTCCCTCATCTTTATTAAAAAAAAAAAAAGAATACACTTCCCGGCAGTATGGGGAAGTTTGACTGATTATGGGGTTTCTGGGACAGAAGCAGATCCGGGAAAGTTTCTTAGTGTATGTTTTGGGGCAGGCTTTTCCACCATGACCAGCTGTCCTCAGAAGCCAACCAGGGGAGCCAGGCCACTGGGCAAGAGGTCAGCCATGTCTAGACCAGCTGCATGTCCTTTCCCTTGGTGCTGACACAGGTTGTGTGGGGAAGCTCAGCACAGTCCTCGGTGCAGGGCAGGTGCCCAGACTGTGGAGTGGGCACGCTGGGTGAGGAGGTGTGGTGCATTTGTCCATCCCTCAGTCAGTGGTCGCTGCTTTTTCCTTTCCACCGGCGGGAGCCCCTCTCTCAGAATCCAGCTGCCAGTGCTGCCCATCTCTTTATTCAGAACCTGAGGTATGCAGAGCACCCTTGCCTCCTCACCTGTGGATCCAGCCTCTGTGCTGTAGACTGAGGCAGGACAGGGAGCACTCTCATGCTCACTTTGTAGACATAGGGCTCAGAGATTCGGGGGGGGTCAGACTTCCAGGGTCATACGTTTGTTGTCCCCAAGCCTAAGTTATGTATGCCCCTCTGGGTTCTCACCCCACGCCTCTCTGTGTCATGACTTGGCTCACACACTGTTTCCTGTGAGCACCTTGAGTCCAGGACCTTCTTCTCATTTTTCACCCTCAGTCTGTCACAACTCTCTCTCCCGAGCCCCACCCTACCCCCTTATCAGAAATGACAGCTCTGGCCAGGCTCGGTGGCTCAGCCTATAATCCCAGCGCTTTGGGAGGCCGTGGTGAGTGGATTGCCTGAGCCTGCGGGTTTAAGACCCGCCTGGGCAACTTGGCAAGACCTCATCTCTACAATAAATCAAAAATTAGCCGGGCGTGGTAGCTGTAGTTCCAGCTACTTGCAAGGTTGAGGTGGAAGGATCACCAGAGCCCAGCAGGTCAAGGCTGCAGTGGCCGGGAGCGGCCACTGTGCTCCAGTCTGGGTGACAGAATGAGACTCCAACTCAAAAAAAAAAAGAAGTCAGGCTCGGTGGCTCAGCCTGTAATCCTGCGCCTTTGGGAGGCTGAGGTGAGTGGATTGCCTGAGCCCGCGGGTTCAAGACCCGCCTGGGTAGCGAGACCTCATCTCTACAATAAATAACAAAAAAAGCCAGGCTCGGTGGCTCAGCCTGTAATCCCGCGCCTTTGGGAGGCTGAGGTGAGTGGATTGCCTGAGCCCGCGGGTTCAAGACCCGCCTGGGCAGGTGAGACCTCATCTCTACAATATATCAAAAAATTAACCGGGCGTGGTAGCGCGCGCCTGTAGTTCCAGCTACTTGGAAAGCTGAGGCGGAAGGATCGCCGGAGCCCAGCAGGTCAAGGCTGCGGTGGCTGGGAGCGACCACTGCACTCCAGTCTGAGCGACAGAGTGAGACTCCAACTCAAAAAAAAAAAAAAGCAATGACAGCCCAGATTAAGGTTTCATTTCTGAGCCTCACTGACTGAGAAGAGTGATGAGTGGGGAGTTGGGTGACTCAACTCATACCCACCCTCCACTGCCGAGAGATTTCCATCTGGACCAGGGCAGGAGGAAGCAGGAGGGGTTCCCTTCTACTGAGAAGGCAGTCTTCCATTTGACAGGCATTCTCGAGCTTCTGCTCTGAGTGGGCTCATCCTGAGAGTGACTGAAAATGGTCCCAGAGAGGGAGGTATTCACGGGGCTGGCAAGGGGTCAGCACGTGTGGGAGCCAGAGCCTGTACGTGGAACTGATGGGAACCAACCCAGGGGAGGTGAGAGTAAGGGGTGCCGAGTGCGTGGGAGAGAGGTCAACTCACTGCAGAAGGTTCCCCCTTTTCTGGCCATCTTTAAGCAAATTAAGACTTCTAAATGCAGAAATTTGAGTTTTTAGAGAGATCAGTGGCTTTGAAAAAAAAGGAAATGCAACAGCCCCCCACCTCCAGTTTTCCTAACAAATGGAAAGTTCAGCTTCAGGAAGGAACAAGGCACAGTCACCAAGAGAAAAATATCCAAAACAACCAGTTGGATAAATAGGCTGCAGCCCAGGGGAGCTGGGCCATGTGAACAGCTGAGGTGCTGGGCAGCGGAGACCCTACCACTGGCTGGCATTGAGTAACCCACAGCTTCTCTCCACGCATAGGGCCACAGTATGGGACGGTAGAGAAGTCCTGGATAGCTGTCATGTCCGAGGCAGAGAGGGTGAGCGAGCTGCACCTCGAGGTGAAGGCCTCACTGATGAACGAGGACTTTGAGAAGATCAAGAGTTGGCAGAAGGAAGCCTTTCACAAACAGATGATGGGAGGCTTTAAGGAGACCAAGGAGGCTGAGGATGGCTTTCGGAAAGCACAGAAGCCTTGGGCCAAGAAACTGAAAGAGGTACGTCGCCCCGCAGGCTACCTGCCTGCCTGTCCTCTCAGCCTGGCCACCACCCCCTCCACCCCCCTCCTTGGAGCAGTGCTCCCTCCTGCACACCCAGGATTTCCTGCCACTGCTTTAGCACAGGAGGCCACAACTGGTAGATAAATAGTCACTCCTGAGGCCAGAAACCCATGGTGGCTGACTCTTACCAAGGTTAAAGGCACCGACTTTATGTGCGTTCTTCATATTTAATTCTTACCAACCCATTTTACAGACTTAGTAACTGAAGATCAGTACTATACATTGGTGGTAGAGCTAAAAACTCAAGCTCTCAGCCGGGCTCAGTGGCTCAGCCTGTAATCCCGCGCCTTGGGAGGCTGAGGTGAATGGATTGCCTGAGCCCGCGGGTTCGAGACCCGCCTGGGTGACTTGGTGAGACCTCATCTCTACAATAAATCAAAAAATTAGCCGGGTGTGGTAGCGCGCGCCTGTAGTTCCAGCTACTTAGAAGGCTGAGGTGGAAGGATCGCCGGAGCCCAGCAGGTGGAGGCTGCGGTGGCTGGGAGCGGCCCCTGCACTCCAGTCTGGGCGACAGAGTGAGACTCCAACTCAAAAAAAATAAAAAATAAAAATAAAAGCTCAAGCTCTTAACCACTAACAATACTTCCCCCAGCCCTGGGAAAGGGTCAATTGGAGAGACTTAATAATCCGTCTGGACTAGTAGAAAATATTAGTTTACATTTTTCCTTCTCATGTAGATTTTTCTCCAAATTTGCAAATGATACTTAGATCCCTTGTTTAGAAGTAGCAACCAAGGCCATTGAGTGTTGTGCCTTGGCTACCTAGAGGCTGTCATCCATCCATTCCGGCCCTCAGCATGTGTGCCCTACCCCTGCCTGCATCCTGCCACTGGCATTCATTACTGGAGTGAGGTAGACAGTCGACTTGTCACCCTCTGGACCTGACTTAGGAGTTGCAGTGCTTAATCCTTCTCAGAATCAGCCAGAACAGGCCAGGAGTGGTGGTTCACACCTGTAATTTCAGTACTTTTGGGAAGCCAAGGTGGGAGGATCACTTGAACCCAGGAGTCTAAGACCAGCCTAGGCAACATAGCAAGACCTTGTCTGTACAAAAAAAATTTTTTAAATTAGGCAGACCCAGTGGTGCACGCCAGTAGTCCCAGCTACTTGGGAGGCTGAAGCAGAAGAATCCCCTGAGTCCAGTTGAGGCTGCAGTGAGCTGTGATCATGCCACTGCACTCTAGCCCAGGCCCAAGACTGAGACCCTGACTCCCAAAAAAATTAAAGAAAAAAAAGAACTAGCCAGAACATGCCTCCTTCTTTGGGCTATAACAGGCTCTTTTTTTCTCTGTGTCTTGGCTTTTACACATCTCCTCTTCCTTCCTTTTTGTCCCTGACCTTATTTGTAATGAAACTATCTCCCTTCTCACGAGGCTGTTGCTACAAACTCTTCTTTCTCAGAAAAAATGAAACCTGTGGTTTTGGCTCAAATAAGGAAGCATTTATTAAATCCATAAGAGTGTGTGTGTGTGTAAAATAGCCATTAAAACCATGGGGACGTGGCTGCCACCTGTCTCCCCAGCATAGCCCTCTCAGCTCATGTTAGGTTTCCCTTGTGGAACTATCTGTGTTTGCTGTCCCAGCTGCCTGGCCTGCTCTTCCTAGATGTCCACGCCTCCTTCACAAGTATCATCTTGGTTGACTTTCTCTGGCCATTCTACATATAATTCTGTCACTTACCACTGTGCTCCCTGTCTCTGTTTTCCTCCACCACACTTACTACCTTCTCATTGACTCTAGCATTTAATTTCTCCCATACTGTGTTTGCCTCCCCCAACTCAAATGGAAGCTTCCTGAAGGCCCTGGCCCTTTTTTCTCATGCGGTATCCCTGGTGTCTAAAACCACCCATGCTCAAAGCAGGTGCTGAATATTTGTTGAGTGAATTCCTGTTAGGACTAGTTGCTGTTATAGTGTGAATGCAATTTTGTGCCTGCTTTTTCCTCTCATCTTGGTAGTACAAGCATTACCACAGTTCGTGTAACCTCTAGTGAGGACTCTGAACCTTCAGCAATGTAGCATTCAAGACCTCATTCTCCTTGTAGGTAGAAGCAGCAAAGAAAGCCTACCACGCAGCATGCAAAGAGGAGAAACTGGCCATCTCACGAGAAGCCAATAGCAAAGCGGACCCATCTCTTAATCCCGAGCAGCTCAAGAAATTGCAAGACAAAGTAGAAAAATGCAAGCAAGATGTTCTTAAGGTGAATCATAAGGTTGGGTTCACATGCTGAGCATCATTGTGTCACGTGTTCACATGTTTGGTACAGAGTAGGCCTTTTATAACCGCTCAGTTGAATAGGTGGATAGAGGGGCAGAACCGAGTGCTGGGAAGGCAAGGGGGAACAGATGGTTCCTTGAGCTCAGGAGTACAAGGACAGCTGGAATTGCTGCAGGGAGGGAGCAGCTTCTACAGGACACTCAGGCATGAATGGGCATGGTCAAGAGCTGATGCATAAGGTAGTCTGGAGGGTTATGAGGACCAATTTGCCAGTTCCCTGGACAGCCGGCTGAGTAAGGATCTTAGGTTGCTGCTGTTGAGCAGAGTCTGGACCCCGAAGAAGGGAGGGCAGAGATGTGGAGGTTCACGGTTTAGAAGGATCGCTGTGGTTGTACCGGGAGGGTGGGCTGAGGGCAGAGATCTGGTGGGAGAACTTTTCTGGGAAGCCAGGCTGGGAAGGGGGACAGACCCTAAGAGTGTGATGGAGGCTGGGGGCAATGGGATGGTGGCTTTTGATCAGGAAGAGACAGGGAACAGACAATGTGGCACGGTGGGTACCCTTCCGTTTCTGTTGTGAAGGGAAAATTTTCTGCCTCAATGGGTTAGTGAGAAGATCAAATAGGAGATTCTATCAAAGCACTTTGTAAACTGTGAAACTCACTGGTGGGACCAGGTGAGGAACCTGATGAATGGGGGTACCTAGGTTCCAGAAGCAGAAGGCCTTTGCTAGGATCCTGGGGAGTCAGGGGCCAGAAAGGTGCCTGAGAGATGAAGCATCTCTACATTGAAGGTGGGGGAGAGAGAGAGAGAATGTGTGTGGGGGGGGGGAGAAGGAGAGAGAGAGGGAGAGAGTGTGGGGTGGGGTGGGGGCCTTTCATGTTTGGCAACCACTCAGACCCACCAACCAATGCTTTTGTGGAACAGCCCAGGGCATGAGGTCAGACAGGAAAGTGTCTGTCAGGATGACTGGAGCACTTTGTAGTCAGTGTCCTCCCGGGCCCTTCCTGCCTCTGTGGTCTGGCAATTGCCCTCAGGACGTGGTCCTTGTGAACTGAGAGTCCTGGAGAGGAGGGCAGCCCTCCTCACTCCCCTTCTTGAAGCAGATGTTCTATCATGTTTCCTACTAGCCAGGCAGTGACCATACTTGCAGCACCCATCAGAAAGGAACCTCTTGCACTTAGTGCTAAAATATTACAGTCCACCTGAGGGTAAGGCTGCTTCTCATTTCACTCCATGAATGTTCACTGGGAGCTTTCTGTGTGCTCTACATAGGGGCTTCTCTCACAGTGACATCCCTGTTCAGTGCCTGGTTTGTGCTGGGGTCAGGGCCTGGGGCTCAACACAATTGGCACAGGCTGGGTCCAGAGGAGCCCAGAGGTAGAACATCTCATTGCCACTGGGTTCCCTGTGGGTTCCCAGGAGGCCACTGTGTCTTGAAGGCTCCCAAGAGGAAGTTGCTCTGTCACTTTAACAGTACCCCCAGATGCTGGGTGTTGAGCCCATGGCTACATGTCTCAGATCTCTGAGCTAGGGCTCCCAGGTAGTAGGCACGGGCAATGGAGATGGTGGTGGAGAAAAACCATAGTGCTGTAGTCTCTGTTCCCACTAGGCATACCCCAGTTCTGGCAGGGATGGTCTTTCCTGTGATCATAGAGGACCCAGCCCAGCCATCTCACAAGGCTCGGAAACAGAACAAAGAACCACAGATGCCAGGAGAGAGGCAGGGACCCCAGGGGGTGGGGTAGGACCTTCTCTCGGGAAGTTGGGAAAGACTTCAAGAAGCGGGATCTCTTTGGAACCTGAAAGGGCATGAATCAGAGAAGGACGTCCAGAAGGGAACTGGGTCGGGACAGAGAAGGTGCTCCAGAGGCCTGCAGTGGTTTAGAGAAGGCTTGATCTCTCTTCAGGAAGCCCCGTACATATTGTCAGTTCCTAGTGGAGTCCGTGACCACCCCCTCATTGCTCAGTCTGAATAGTGGAGAAACTTGCAATAAATAAGTAGCTACATACACACACACACAAACACACAAACACTGTCTCTCTCCCCACTCCACCCCCAATGTGGAGATGCTTCATCTCTCCCCAGTAGCTCCACCCTTGCCATCCCTTACTTCACCCGAGAGGGCCACCATGGTCCCATCAACTAACAGAACCATGTGGCCTCCAGACTAGTGACCCTGCACACCAAGATGGAGGGATATAAGGAAGTCTATGTGGACATGAGGTTAATGACCTCAAGGCTCAACTCTGCCAGATGTACGTGCTCACTCTAGCCAAGTCTTGAGAGTTTCATTCATTTTCTAGTTGTCCCTAGACACTCTTGAGATAGGACACACCTGCTATTAACATTTCCTTTCCTGTAAAAGTCCTTCTTGGTACAGTCTGGAAGGGAACAGCTGTGTGACAGGGACGGAGTCAGCTGGAAGACAAGAGGAGGAAGACTATTTTGAATGCCTGCTTCCTGCAGCTTTGTGCCATCTTTTAAATATCAGAATACTGTGAAGGAACAACTGTCCCCATTTTCTGATAAGGACAGTGGGGCTCCAGAAAACAAGAGTGTACACCAGGATTCAGACCCGGCTCCACCCTTGTTTCTAAGGTTACACATCCAGCTACTGCTGCTATGGGCCAGGTCTGAGGCTTGAGGGTGACCCAGCACAGCCCTTCCTGGTTGGGAGAGCGGGCATGGGAGTATGACATTCTTGGGACCACACACACTGAGCTCTGGGGTTACCACCCCTACATCTGCCCGTTTGGGCCTTGCGCCAGCTGAGAGAGGGCAGATGCCAGGAGTGTGATTTACCTTGCAGAAGTGGCCGAATCCAGACTCGATGTTGAACTTGAAGTCTGACTCCAGAGCTGCTGCTTTTTGGGTTTGGAATATGGGAGGCCTGAGAAGCTCCAGGGATGGGTGGGGTGAGTTAGAGGCTGAATGGAAACGAACCTTATGTGTTTTTTATTTAGACCAAAGAGAAGTATGAGAAGGCCCTGAAGGAGCTCGACCAGGGCACGCCCCAATACATGGAGAACATGGAGCAGGTGTTTGAGCAGTGCCAGCAGTTTGAGGAGAAGCGGCTGCGCTTCTTCCGAGAGGTTCTGCTGGAGGTTCAGAAGCACCTAGACCTGTCCAACGTGGCCAGGTAAGTTTTCTTTGAACTAAAAAACACATGTCAACTGAAGTCATTAGAAAGCTGCTTTTGAATCAAACTCAGATGCTGCTCCCAGGCTTGGGATGGCAGCGTTCATCAGGAAGTCTTGCAGGTATTAGGATCTCCTTTATTTCTGCCCAGGGAAGGTCTTTCTGCAGAGCTTATCTGCAGCTGTGGCAGGGCTGACCTGGGCAGTGTCCTGCGCCTATGGAAGACCTGGCTGGACGAGCCAATCGCTGGTCTGAGCAGATAAGACTGGGCATGCTCTGCAGCTCCATATAGGTCTGGGCAGGAAGACAGGCCACTCGTTCTGGGGCTGTGGCTAGAAACAGCGCAGCTGGTGTATTTTAAATCCAGCAGGGTGAGTCCAACATTTCCCAGGCTGAGTGTGCCCTGCCCCAGGATGGTCTTGCTTCAAAACCCTTTTCAAGCAGGCTGCTGCCAACCCAGCTTGGGACAGCACAGACCCTCTAAGGCTCAGGTCTGAATTGTGACCCAGAAGCTTTTGTGCTTTCCTCATCTTTGGTCCCATGACACCTTCCTCAGGGTGGAGGTCCAGTGAGGGAGGGTGTAGATATCTGTCACCCATCTAGCAGAGCCATTTAGAAATGGATTGCAAATCAAGGCTTGTTTGTTTGAGTTCGAGACTCATTCTCTCACCCAGGCTGGAGTGCAGTGGCACACTTCCGGCCACTGCAGCCTCAACCTGCTGGGCTAAGGCAGTCCTTCCTCCTCAGCCTTCTAAGTAGCCAGAACTACAGGTGCACGCTTCCATGCCCAGCTCATTTTTTAATTTATTGTAGAGATGAAGTCTCACCATGTTGCCCAGGCTGGTCTTGAACCTGTGGGCTCAGGCAGTCCTCTCGCCTTGGCCTCCCAATGTGCTGGGATTATAGGCTTGAGCCACTTCACCCAGTCAAGACTTGTTGTTAATAGGAAATACATTCCCTTTGTCTCCTTCTATGTAAAAACAATCAAAAGCAGCAATTATTACACAGCTACTCTGCTACCATTCAGTTAATTTTTAAGACAATCTTGTAAAGTAGATGCTTCTGTCCCCGTGTTATTGATGAGGGAACTGAGGCTGGGTGAGATGAAATGATTTGCCCAAGACTGCCCAGCTGGCAAGGGCAGGACTGGGCTTCACAGCCCTTTTCCAGCTCTTCTGCATGTAGAATAACTTCCATTGTGTGTGTAATTGTCTTTCCTCTGTGTGTTTATCTCTGTGTGTAATTGTCTTTCCTCTGTGTCCGAACTTCCCCTTCTGTAAGAACATCACTCATACTGGATGGGGGCCCACCCTAATGACCTCATTTTACCTTGATTACCTCTGTAAAGACTCTATTTCCAAATAAGGTCACATTCTTAGGCAGGGATGCTTCTCATTTCACTCCATGAATGTTCACCGGGAGCTTTAATGTGGGCTCCGCATGGGGGCTTCTCCTATAGTGATGTCCCTGCTCAGTGCCTGGTTTGTGCTGGGGGCAGGGCCTGAGGCTCAACACAGTTGGCACAAGCTGGGTCCAGAAGAGCCCAGAGGTAGAACATCTCATTGCCACAGGGTTCCCTGTGGGTTCCCAGGAGGCCACTGTGTCTTTGAAGGGTTAGGACTCCAGCATGTCTTTTATGGAGGGCACACCTTGACTGAGAGCATTATGCCTGCTCAGCAGAGGAAGAAATCAAGCCCAGAGAAAGCACATGACTTGCCAGCCAGCCAAGATAAATGAGAATAGCACAGCTCGCAAAGATCTATACTCCTCTCCCTAGGAAGATGAGCCGTTCAGGGCTGTCAGGCAGAAGGCCTTGTCTTGGTGGCGCAGCTTCTGCAGCACCGGGCCATCTGCACACTGCACTTGACATCTGGATGTAAGCCCCCAGCTCTTCTGATGGTGATGAGGAACGAGGGGCACTTTCTGACACTCCAGGTTTCTCTTCTTTGGCTTTGGATCTGATGAAATGGGACCACACACAGAGTGGTAGCCCACATGCCCACATGCTGGCACCTTTGCATTATCTGACGCAGAACCAGGCTCATTTGTTGTTCATTTGTTGTTGATTTAAAGCTCATTTGTCAGAAGCTGAAGCTGTGGCAGTTGTTTGTCCCCATCTGGGCATGTGGCAGCCAGTTATCTTGCCCTGAGCCAGGGTGGGGGTGCTCTTGATCTGTGCCTGTGAAATCAACTCTAACGTGGGCTGCAGAGACTGCGGGGCCTGCTGTGGGTGGCACTGGACTGGGATGAGCAGCGGCTAGTCCCTGCCTTTAAAAGAGCTGTACTTCTCTCTCTGATTTAGCTACAAAACCATTTACCGTGACCTGGAGCAGAGCATCAAGGCAGCCGACGCGGTAGAGGACCTGAGGTGGTTCAGAGCCAATCATGGGCCCGGCATGGCCATGAACTGGCCACAGTTTGAGGTAAGAGGAAGCTGCACCCGTGACCCATTGGCCTGGGAGGGGGGATGGGCTCACAGAGTCAGTATACAATGCTTTCCTTGTCCTATTATTAGGTAGCCTTTATGCATATTTACAGTGTAGACCAAGTTGATATTTAGAGTCACAGGGGCTCAGGTATTATTGAGGCCTTCTGAGTCTCCAGTGAAGGTGCAGTTCAGTCCCTTCTAGTTAGGAAAGCTTGACTGTCACTTGTTGACTGTGGGCACTCCCTTCCTTCCTGTGAGTCCCAGGAGCCTTAGGACACATAGGACCTTGTGTTCCAGACCTCACAGTGGGCCAAGGGAGGGGAGGCAGTCTTGATGGGCAGCCCCTTGTACCCCTCCAACCAGGGACTTCTCCATACTCCAGGCAGTAAACTCAATGATTCTTGGTTCAAAATGAACTTACCTCTTTTCCCTTACCATGGGCCTGAGCCCTCCCATATCTTTACCTTGCAATAAAATGTGAGGGCCTGGAGATCTCAGGACTCGTCCAGTCCTAGGATTGGGTCACCTAACCACCATACCACCATGCTCCCCCACACTATAGCATAGACATCAGTGGCTAGAAGTCCTGCCACCACCTGTTCCCTTGTGATGTTAGTTGCCCCAGGAAAGGTCTGGGAAGGGTGCTGCAGGGCCTGGCTGATAACTCCCTGAGAGAAGACCCCCATTGACTTGGGCGTGGGCCTCGTGACTTCTCCTGCCTCAGCAGTGGCCAAAAGCCTGGGCTGCATTCAGATCCTGCCTCACCTGACCCTCTGAGGGAGGCTGAGCAAACCATTTGCCCTTTTTATGACTCCATTTTTTACCCCATGTGTAGGAATGACAGCAGCGCCCCTCTCCTTGGGTTAGTGGGGAATTCAGTAACCTTGTCCTGCATTCAGGGCTATTGGCCCAGGGCCTAGCTTGCTGCGTGATGACTTGTCAGGCTCTTGCCTGGGCCCAGCCCACCACGCAGATGCCTCCTGGGCTCCTCGTAACCTGCAGCTTATCAGTCCTCACTCCTGCACTTGCTTTCTGGGCCTTCACAGGAAGGTGACTCCACATGACAGTGCGGGCTTCTGCAGCCAGGTGCTCCCTTGCACCCGCCCAAGACTGCTCCCAGCAGGAGGCTGCAGAGCACTGTCTCCTCCATGGAGGCACTGGGAGAAAATGGAGGGCCAGGTCCTTCCTGAGTGGTAGTGGCCCTAGAGGAAGCAGCACAAAGCCCAGCCTCTGCTCCCTGGGCCAGGCACCGGAAGGAGCATTCTGATGTGGTGTTTTGTGCACAGCTGGGCTGTTAGCCCACTGCGGGTGTTTGCTATTCCTGGAGTGGTGCAGGAAATCACCTGTGAAACTCGCCTGGCTGACTTAGAGGTGCCTGTGAATTCTCAGAGAGGACTATTTCAGACTGTCTCACTGGGGTGGGTCCCGGGCTGGGGACCAGCACCCGGGTGTTCCTTGTGCCTGACTCTCTCTAATGAAATTATTTGTTTTTATTTTCCATGCCACAAGGATGAAGTAAGTTTCAACATTCTGACTAACTCATGGGGTGCCAGGTTCCCTGCAGTGTGTTCAACCTGCGTGGGTCTGTGTGTGGTGCCCCAGGCCTGGCCCTCAGCAGCCCCCGATGCGCTTTTGTTTTCAGAGTTGGTAACAGCTGGCTCTTCCATTCAATGTCTGCTTGATGTTGGTCCTGTCAGGCCTTGGGAGCTGTCTAATCAGTATGAAATTGTATCCAAATGTCTTTACATGGACCTCTGAGTTCCCAGTTAATTCTCAGTCAACTTTCCATTAGGAAAATGATTAATAGAAAAACATTGTAACTCAGATTTGGCATCAGAGTCCCAGGTCTTCTGCCTGCTCTTTGTGGGCAAGTCACTTCTCCTTTCTGGGCCTTGGTCTCCTCATCTGACAAGTTGGCAGATTAGACTGGATGTATCTGATGGCATCTAACCTAAAAGTTCTGTAACTCTGTAGGAGCAAAGCTGTGGACTCAGCCACACCAAACTTTACTGAAAGTTGTTTGATAATGGGTGGAGATGGGAAGGAAGGAGGATTCCTTAAATGCCCATGTGCATGCACACATGGACACACACAGACACATGCACAGTCTTAGAAAATCAAGACATGGCCTCCTTTCTTTTTTCCTCACTCCCTTTTTCTAGTACAGTTGATAAAAGCCTGTTTACCGCCAGGAAAATAGAAAACCCCCAGGGAGATAAACACTTGGCTTGGCTTTGTTAGCCTTCCTCATACTGTTGAGATTAAAAATAAAAAGTTCAGGGTAACAGAAGGCATCAGGAGGGCTCTGCTCCTTGGAGGCAGGAGCAGGCAGAGTCTACCTGCCTGCCCCTTTTAGGTGGTAGCCACCCAGCCCCTGGTTTTATTTGCAGTCCAGGGTTCACTTTCCCACGCGGTAGGCTTGCTCAGGTCCCCACAACCGGCTGTCTCAACCTCAAGACCCAGAGACAGTTAAGGGCATAAATGAGAAGGATCTTCAGCACTTTGGGACAGGCTTCTCAGAGGCTGGTTTCTATCTACATTGAGAGGCTTGAAGCCCACCTGGGGAGGCTGCTGGGGCCCAGACTGGCCTGAGGGGGCTGGGGCTGAGAGCCATGATGGGCAGGGGTGGGATTGGGAGGCCCCAGGCTGAATCTAGCATACGATGCTAGAATTCTGTGTCCTGGAAAGTCTGCCTCTCCCAGGAGGTGGGACTGTGGCAGTTCACCTGTAGTGGTGCCAGCCTCCAGGCCCGCTGAAGAGTCCCCACTGTGAAACATGAGGAAGGGCTTCAGATTGTTTGGGTCCATAGGTGGGCACGGGGAGCCTGAGCTCTGCTGGGAAACAGGGGCCGCGGGAATGAGTATCCCTAACTGCACAGGGCTGGTTACTGACTCGCAAGGGGTATTATGGATGGATGTGGCTTCCAGCACCTGAACTTCTGGTTTCTCTCCCTCGGCATATGTTGCCCAGGAGTGGTCTGCAGACCTGAATCGAACTCTCAGCCGGAGAGAGAAGAAGAAGGCCAGTGATGGTGTCACCCTGACAGGTATCAACCAGACCGGCGACCAGTCTCTGCAGAACAAACCTAGCAGGTGAGTGCACAACCTCTGCCCTGAAGAGGTCATCCCCTGGGCCATCTGTGTGGTCCTGTGACAGCCCTACTTAGATACCTGGGAGATTCCCCAGTTGTACAGGGACCCCCATGGGCATCTTTCCAGAAGCTCCCTGGGTTCCCGAACTCTGTGGGTCTCTGGGAGGATCATCTTCCCACCTGGTGCCAGAGCTGCTGAAAGATCCAGAAAGGAAGCCTTCGCCAGGAGCATGCTTCAGGCCCAAGTGAGGGGAAGAGCTGATGTCAGGGCTGGTCATTCATGTCTCCAGTGGTGCCACCATCCTGCATTTTCACTGGCAGGTAGAGATGCATTGTCTCTGGTCCCCTTCAGGCAGTTCAAGTGCTTCCCAGGGTTGTGCTAATTTCCCATGTTATGTGCAGGTGCTAGTCGAGGGAGGGGACTGTCAGGTGCCCCCTTTCCAAATTACCTCTTTGCTGAGAGTATTGGTTCTGACTTAGTTGTGGCTGAAAATGAGTTGTGGATATAATGTGATCTTGTGGTCACTGGAACCTTCTGGAAAGTGTGTGCTAGAGGAGGCCTTCCTGCTGGACCTCCCCAGAGGCCCCCAGGCCACAGTCAACAATAGTCACCTTGTGACTAGGGCTTCCTGGGTAGGCTCAGCCCAGGTTCCTAGTCTTTCGATAGCCCCAGGCACTAAAGCACCACAGGCTCCCCTGCAGATATGGCTGGTTGTCACCCAACTGCTGTGCACACCATTGGGCAGGTGAGCTTGGCAGTAAGCACCTGTCCCAGGGATCAGGCCAGCACGTGTGTGCTGAGGGGCAGGGATGGGAAGGCTGAGATACCCCCTCAGAGGAGATCCAGGGGGCTCCAGGATGACTAGGACTGCTGTACAGTTCAGCTGCCCCCCAACCCCCTCACAGAAATCTGCTAGAGAAAGGTACCAAGGAGGGAAGGAGGCCTGGTGGTCTCACACACGAGTCCTGGACATCAGCCACCAGCAAGCCGGGATCCTGTGCTCCTTGTCTGGCTGAATCTGATGTGGTAGCTGTTAGCCACTAGGGTCACTCTGGTGGCATTTGAGGCTTTCTCACCTCCCTTCTCTGACTCTGGGATGGTGGATGCTGAGACCATGCCATCCATCCAGGGCTTTAGGGGCCTCTCCAAGGCCCTGGACTTGGAGGCAGTAGGTGGGGTGCCAGGGCCCTCAAGGCCTGCTGAGTTATTGACTATCTTGTGGCCTCCTGTAGAGTGCACAGCACCTTGCAATCTCGCCAGCCCAGCTCCCGACTCCCAGTCTGCAGGCAGGGCTTGGCCCAGATCTCTCTGGCCTCCACTCTGGGCCTGGCACACAGTAGGCGGGTAATAGAATTGCATGAGTGGATTTTCTCTCTGGAGCACCAAGACAATCCTTCTTTCTACCTAGAGAGAGCCGCACAGCTAGCTCGGCCCTGGTTTTGGAAACTCCAGCCCAGGAGAACAGGGGAGCCACCCACTGAATCCTTTAGCAGTCAAAAGGAGGTGGGTGCCCAACTGTGGGGATTAGAGAGCTCAGGAGCCCCCTCTGCTCATCCATGGGACCAAGCCCCCTCCCAGGCTGGGACCCTTGAGGAGACCGTGGGGGTTTTTGACCTGCTAGCTCACAGCATTGGGAACAAGGGCTGGGAAGGAGCCCAAATCTGTAAACTACTTTTGCTCCAGCTGTGGCCTGTCACTGCCCTCCCTAGGGCCCCTGCTCTAGACGGAATGCCTCCAGACACAGGAAAGAAAGAGAAATCTTGTTCTTTCTTGGATGCTTTAAGCATGTTTCACAGTCCGGGTATTGCCCATGTTTTGCTAAAAGCAACTTTCTGTTGAAACAGCGTAGTCCCTCTCCAGTCGGTGAGGAGCTGGTTTGTCCCTTGAGATCTTGCAGCTGGGAGTTTCCAGGACCCTTGCGGACCCCTGCCAAGCTGGGGTCCCCTGAAAGCGTTCTCTCTTCCCATAGCACCCTTAGTGTCCCGAGCAACCCTGCCCAGTCTGCGCAGTCACAGTCCAGCTACAACCCCTTCGAGGACGAGGACGACACAGGCAGCACCGTCAGTGAGAAGGAGGACACTAAGGCCAAAAAGTTGGTGAACAAACGCTTCCTCTGGTCCTACATCACTTTCTCTGTCTCTCTCCCTCTCTTTCTGTCCAGGGGTCTCGCCCCCACACACTTAGCAATGCACAAGACCCTGCAGAAGGTGGGCACCTGGCGCCCTGCATCCCTCAGGGACAGCACAGCTAACAGTCTGCAGTCGCTTTTCCTCTGTCCTCTGTTAACCCCTCAGGGCTCTGCATTCCCACCTCAGGAAGACAGACAGGGGTCTTGCTGAGACCTGCAGTTGCCTGTGGGTGGCTCAGGATGAGTGGGGATGGCATGAATTTTTGCCAGGGCCTGGCTCCGCCCATGCGGGCACACTGGAGAGAGCTGTGCTTCTTCAGAAGGAGCCCTCAGCCCCGAGCCCCAAGGTGCCTGCAGCCTCCCCTGGCAGGGGCTGAGGCTCTGAGTGGGGGCCTCACACCTTCTGCCCGCCTTTCGCGGAGGGACCCATGGCAACCCCTTTCTTGCAGTGTGAGCAGCTACGAGAAGACCCAGAGCTACCCCACTGACTGGTCAGATGATGAGTCTAACAACCCGTTCTCCTCCACGGATGCCAACGGAGACTCCAATCCCTTCGACGAGGATACTACCTCGGGGACGGAAGTACGAGTTCGGGCCCTTTATGACTACGAGGGGCAGGAGCATGATGAGCTGAGCTTCAAGGCTGGTAGGTGGGCTCCCTGCCATCTTCTGGGGCATCAGTGCTGCCAGCCTGCTGGCGAGCTTTGTCTTTTTTTTTTAAAGTCTGATAAGTTTCCTGCTAGTTTCCCCTGTGAGTCCTCACTGCAGGCCCTTCCATTCCCAGTTTTAAAAGTAGCAGATGCTCAGTGACTGAAATCAGAAAATAATTGAGCGGTCTTCAGTAGTAAATTTTTTTTTTTGAGTTGAGTGAGAACAGAGTGAGAACTCTGTTGCCCAGTTTGGAGTGCAGTGGCACGCTCCCAGCCACAGCAGCCTCAACCTGCAGGGCCCTGGCGATCCTTCTGCCTCAGCCTTCCAAGTAGCCAGAACTACAGATGCACACTACCATGCCTGGCTCATTTTTGATTTATTGTAGAGACAAGGTCTCATCAAGTTGCCCAGGTGGGTCTCACCAAGTTGCCCAGGTGGGTGTCGAACCCACGGACTCAGGCAGTCCACTCCCCTCGGCCTCCTAAAGTGCTGGGATTACAGGCTGAGCCACCGAGCCTGGCCCAGTAGTAATTTTTTAATGCTAGTTGCAGTTTACCAAAATGAACTGTAGCCTTCAGCCTGTCTAAGGAGGCTGGAGTGGCCTATAGTCAAAGCAGACCCATAGCCACCCATGTTTCTTGCTTCCCCCTGCTGACCTGAGCTAAAATGTACCCCTGCCCTAGGCTACACCTCTGGGAAAGACGGCCTCATCCTTTCCCCCACTCAGGGGGAAGGCAATGCCAAAGGCCTGGCTCCTAACCCAACCTTCAGCCCCCTTCCCTTGGTTCCCAGCAATGTCAGCCAGCTGTCCCCAGACATTTATCCCCAGGCTTGGTCATTGGTTGCCACTGACCAGTTTTAGGAACGTTTTTATGTCCAGTTTTGATATCTTTGATTGGGGTTGTCACCTCAATTTTGTAGGTTTATTTGTTTTTAATTTCTAATTCTTTTTCAATCTTACCTGTTGGGTTTGGCAGTACTTTTATAGATTTAAATGTTTCTTCCAGTTCCATGTAAATTGTCAAGACCAAACTGATTGAAATGAACACTTGTAATCACCAGTTCACATGTGTACAGTGTGACACCCTTCCTGTCCATTGTGTCTGTTTTCTGTTTTTCTGCTCCCAGCCAGTGCTGCTGGCCTTACGTCTCACAGGACCTCCGCTGCTGGTGGCTTTGGTGGGTCTTGGTTGCTGACAGAGCTTGCATTTGGTAGACTTAGCACCACATGTGGTATCACATTATGGGCCTCATCCTCGCCTCTGCGGCCTGGAACCAGGCCTATGGATGTGGCAGCCTACGAGGGCAGGATGAGAAATGCCAGGGGTCCACGAAGGGATGGAAGAAGATGGTAATTCACCATGACTCTTCCCTGTGGCCCCTGCAGCTGCTCCGACGCTTAAGTCAGATTCGCAGGAACGCCAGTCTGGCAGAGGCATCACAGCAGCAGGAGGATGAGTTGGTGCCCCTGCGTGCCTGCGCTGTCTCAGGGATAATTTGTGTTTTCACATCTACTTCTCAGCAACCCCAACCTGCAGGTGAAGTGGGGAGGCACAAGGTTGGCCCAGGTCTTGCAGCTGATGTGCTCTGGGATTTGAGCTCCCAGTCCTGGGAATGCTGAGGCCCCAGCTATTGGCCCCGCAGGCATCTTGACCAGTGTTACTGCCATACAAAATGAAAAATGTCAACAAAATAAATATTGCTAGACCTGCATAACTGCCTGGGGGAAAATTGCATCTGATTCTGAAAAATGAGCCAAAATGCCAGAGAGAGATATAAAGCTACAGACATAGCGATAAAGGTAAACCAGCACTTAACTTTCACCAGTTGCTTGCTCCTGAGGAGATCCAAGCTGGTGGGCCTCTGCCCACCCCAGGCTCTGGGCTACTCTGCTTCCCTTAGTGAGCAAATGCCAGGCCTAGGACTCTGCTCCAGTGCCACCTCCTTCATCACACCCTGGTCACACCTTTGATCTTGTCCCCTGGTCTATCTCCTTGAGATCGGGCTCTGTTTATTCCTCTCATCCCTGGCACAAAGTAAGGGCTCCTTCAGGTCTGAACAAACAAAAGTGAAATGAAACCACACTAACACATAGCCACTGGGAGATTCTAGAACAGTGCCAGTGGCTTCTCAGAGTGGCGAGAGGGGTTAACAGATATCCTCCTGCACAAGCCCTGCACCAGGTGCTAGGGATAGAATGGCAGGTACTGCTGGCCAGGTCTGGTATGGCTGTCCCTGCCCCTCTCATAGCCTGTAGTCTGCAGATGGCGGAATTAACAGGCACAAGACCCCAGCAACAGGTGCTGGGAGAGATACAGAAGAGTGGGCAGCTGGGGCCTAGGCAGGAGGACAGCAGTAAAGGGCCAGTGTGAAGAAAGGGTACGACCTGGCCAGGGATGGTCAGGAGGGTGCATACCTACAGTGCTTGGCCCTGTGGCCTCCCTGGAAGCCAGTGTGGCATCTGAGAACTGCTTGCTGTAGGTTCACTGTGTGAGGCTGTCATCTCTAGCTCTCTCAAAGGCCCGGCGACCAAAGAGGCAACTTAAATTGCAATTTAGTAGAAAAATAACAGGGTCCTGTCCCACCCTCAGGGGAATGCCTGCCCCTCCACCATCTCTGGGCACGTGAGGGCAGCTCCCTGATCTGCGATCAGCATCACCCACCCACTCACAGAGGCCTTTCCCTCCTTGTCTTTCAGGGGATGAGCTGACCAAGATGGAGGATGAGGATGAGCAGGGCTGGTGCAAGGGACGCTTGGACAACGGGCAGGTTGGCCTGTACCCAGCAAACTATGTTGAGGCGATCCAGTGACGGGCCTGAGGGCAGGCCCAGGAGCTCCAGGGACTCCAGCCGGCTGTGTAGGCATCTACTCCTTTTCCTGCGAAAGATGATGGTCCCGTTGCTCTTGGCTTCATGGTATCCCTGGAAGGCGACAAGCTGGTCACCTCACCTGGGACTTGGCACTTTTCTGAGGTCAGCTGGAGGGATCTGAGTGCAGGAAGATGCTGAACAACAGAACAGCCGGCCCCTGCCTGCCGTTCGCTATGCTTGGGCTTATGATGGACCTGTCTGTCCTTGACCTTGTCTCTCTTCTCCTCCAGTCAATTGTGGGCTCCACTGATTCTCATTCCACTGATTATTTTCTCTGATGAGTCTCATCACCTGTAACTTAAATGAACAAACTTCCATGCCATTTTCTGAGTGAAGATCCTGAGGTTTTTAATTTAAAGGCTATGTACAGTTATACTTTTTTATACACCTGTTCTTCCATTCATTTATACTTAAATTATGGCACAGATTGATATACACCAATCTTGAGGAATGATCTCTCTATTTCATGTCTTACTGTTACTCAGCCATGCCACTATGTGGGGTGAGCCACAAGGTGACGCCCATGTGACCAATGGTGTTTGAGGCAAGAGATCGTAGTAGAAAGATAGATTGGATTTCTGTTATGAATGCCCATTATGCACTTGGGGCATCAGAGTGCAGGTCTCAGATATACCCCTAAGTAGTACTCCCAGAATTGCCATATTTAAAATTATTTTCTCTCTATTCTTGCTTAAAACTTTATTTTTTGCAAATTAACAATTGTATCAGTGATTTGGGAGTTTAAGAAGTAAGAAGACTAACTTTTCAAGCAGATGCATCTGTAGATTGAGATGCTTTCTATTAGACTGTCATGTCTGGGTGTATATCTGTATATAGTATTTGATATTCAGAGAATCTAAAGCGCTCGTCTACTGTTTTCATGTGATTTAACGGCTTTTGACAGTGGATTTCATTTGTAAACTGCTTAAAGTCTGCAGCATTTGGGCAGGGCCAACAAGGCCTCCTCCTGGGCTCAGACGTGGGCTCCAGGCCTCTCTGACGTGGAGCCTGCTGGAGGGAGGCTTGCCCTCACCAGCCAGCTGCAAGTTCAGCTTCTGCCTGGCCCTCGTCCTGGCTCCGTAGCAGAACACTGTAAAACCCCCTTGTCTTCGCAGGGTTGCAGATCTCAGCCATGTGCATTCCTCGTGAGCAAGCAGGAGCGGGGTCTTGCCCACAGCATGGTCTCTGCACTTCCTTGGTCACTGGGGAGCAGGAGTGCTGCAGCCAGGCACCCCTGTGGTGCGACGGGGCAGGCAAGGGTAGGAGAGAAGCTTTGTCTTATGTAACAGTCCGCGGTGCGTGCCCACCACCATCTCAAGCTATGCATTTACTCCGCGTGAGCTCCATGTCTTGCTTGGAAAGTGAATGTATGTCGTGTCTGTTACAAAAACTAACCAGCAGAAATCCTCATTCCTATGCTACAGATTTACCAAAAATTGTCAAGTCTTTTAAGTTTAAGAGTTCCTTTAAATGTATAGTATTTTAGGAAAAAATCAATAAACACTTGATCTTGTGCAAATGAAAAGTCCCTCTGCACCCTCATGCACATCACCTGGTAGACGCAGCCTCCTTGGGGTGCACCAGTTTGGGTGAGATCTGGGACACAGGAGCCCTGCCAAGAGGCCATGGCCCACTGCTCCTGCCACACCAGAGGCTGGGGACTGGAGGCACCCGAGCCCCTTGGGGTTCCCCTCACCCCAAGACCTGCTGCTGTTTGACCTGGGCTTCTCCCCTCTCCTCCCTAGAGTGGGCAGTGCTTCCCCCAGGCCCAAGCAGCATAATGAGACTGGTGTCACTCTCCTCTGAGCATATTTTCCTGAGCACCTATTGTGCGCTGGACCTGGTGCTCCATTTTTTACTTATATTATCTGCAAATATTCCCATGGGGTGGGGGCAAGTCTCCCCATTTCCAGTCAACAGAGGCTCCAGGAGCCAGAGTTATCTAGGGAGTCCCAGCTGACCCAAGGCACTGGGCAAAATTCCCAAGGAACCTCCACCGTTACCCCATGAACCAAGGAGGAAGGAGGCCTGGATGGCAGCCCCAGCCAGTGTGAAAAGAAGGGGGAAATAAGATATAAGGGCTGCCGTGGTCACACTCAGCAAGCCCTGCTAAAGCCACCCAGAAAAGCACTCCAGCTGTGCATGCAGCCCTCACAGGAGCCAGGAGGACAAGAGAGCAATTGCCCTGCAGTGTGGCTTTGCCCAGCTCAGCAAAGGCAGGGCAAATCTCTGTCATCCAGCCCTTATCTCATGGGTGGCAGGGTCCCCGTTCTTCCAGCTTCTGAGGGTTTGGACCCCAGCAGCAGGCCTCCTGCTACCAGCCTCGGCCTCGGCCTCTGGGGCAGAAGGAGGGGGTCAGAAGCAGGCTCCTGGGACCCGTGGGCTTGATCCACTGCCCGGGCCCTGCCAGCAGCTTGACCACCATGGCGAGACCATGGCCCCGTTGCTGAGCCAGGTCTGCTGTGCTGGATGAGGCACCTTCCACTCTGCAAGGCCCTTTCTCAAGGCCCCCTGTGAGGGTCTTGAGCCCAAGGCCCCTCTAGGCCTTAGTTTCCCCAGATAGAAGCAATGCCTGCCTTTCCAGTTGGAGGGTTAGAGAAACCTTGGAAAGGCTACAGGTACTCAAGAGGTGGTCATTGTCATGATTGTGACTGACACCAGAGGCCATCCTCCACTGTCCCTCCTGTGCCCTCCATACTGGGCTGTCTAGTCCTCTCGGCTCTTCCTTCCTCTCTCAGCTCCCCCACCCCACTGCCAGGAGGGTGAGCAGGTGCAGCCAAGTTACTGGGGCAGAGATCTGGCTATGCCACAGCCTGGCTAAAACTTGGGGTCTTCGGAGGTCCCTGTAGATGGAAGACTGATGCAGAATCCTGGTCCACCCAGACACATGCAAGGCCTCTCCCACCTGGCCTGGCCTCACTGAGTGGCCTGTGGGGCTGGGCCGTGCCAAGGCCTCAGGCACGGGGCAGGCCTGGAGGGGACTCACTCACAACACATCAGTTTAGGCATGGGAGAGGTTGCAAAGGGTCCCTGTGGGCCACCTGACCAGCCTGCTCATTCATGGGGAAACTGAGGCCAAGTAAGGAGAAGCAGTGACTTACCCACTCAGGCACAAGGCACAGAGAAAGTGGCTGGGGAAACTGAGCAAGGCCCGACCCCTGAGAATCTCCTCCTGGTGGGAGATCGGCTGACTCACTCCTTATTTATCTGTTGGGCAGTCATTCATTCAGCAAGCATTTATTGAGCACCAACTTTGTGTGCTGTCAGAGAGACATGAAGAAGAGCCAATGTTTGCCCTTGGGAAACTCCTATAAGCTTAGAGAAAGACCTGAGTTATTCTGACACCAGGATGAGAGAACCAGAGAGCAGGGGCCAGGACTATCCACTGAAAATATGCATGGTAGATCCTGGAGGTCTCTCAGGATATTAGGACCAAGGCCTCCCAACCCAGGCCCAAAGAGGTGGAATACTGTTTGGTCCTTGAGCTGTTTCCCCCACTTCCCGTGGAAAGCATCCCTGAATCCCCACCTGGGTAGGAGGTCAGGCTGGACCACAGACCAAAAGAAGACCTTCGCCCCTGCAAGACCCAAAGCCCAAGCAAGTGCCCCAGCTTCATTTGCTGTGATGTGGGGATGATCAAGTGAGGATGACTTGGGAAGTGTCCAGACACCAAGAGACCCTGCCAGGTGAGTGCCATATGAGCTACCTTTCCTCTTTCCACCCCTTTTCAGTCTGAGCTCTCCCCAGGATGACGGCCACCCCCTTCTGCTCCTTATCCCAACTTACCCTGCCCTAAGCCTCCAACGAGGGTGGCAGGTCTCCCCAGTCCCTTTCCCAGACAGTCGGGGAGACACGTGCCCCTTTCTTGGCTTCAGTTTCCCCATAGTTGGTGGGAAGTGACCTCTGGTCTGGACCTCTGTGGTTCCTGTGGTAAGAGCAAGCAGAAAAGCCCCAGGGCCAGGATTGGGGTTGTCCTACCATGCCTGCGAAGGGTGGCTCGGGCTGAGCTCAACCTGGCCTAGCCTGAAGGTGAGTATGAGGCTCATTCCCAGCCAGGCATAGCCACCGCCAGGTGCAGGGTCAGGAGCCACAGAGCCAGTGTTACGGTCTGAATGTATCATCTCAAGATCCACATGTGGAAATCCTAACCCCCACGGGGGTGGTATTGGGAGGGAAGCCTTTGGGAAGTAGTTAAGTCATGAGGCAGAGTCCTCAAGAATGGGATCAGTGCCCTTCTCCCATGAGCACCTCTCCCATCTCTCTCCCTATCCATGGGAATACTTGTTCCAAGACTCCCAGTGGATGCCTAATAGTACTGAACCCTGTATATGCTGTTTTTTCTTATACTCACATACCTACGATAAAACTTAATGTATCAATTAGACAAAGTAAGAGATTAACAACAATAACTAATAATAAAATACAACAAGCTGCATGCAGTAGTTCACGCCTATAATCCCAGCATTTTGGGAGGTCAAAACAGGAGGATTGCTTGAAGCCAGGAGTTTGAGAGCAGCCTGACCAACAGAGTAAGATCTCATCTCCACAAAAATTTTAAAAAGTAGCCAGGTGTGGTGGTGTGTGCCTGAAGTCCCAGCTACTTAGAAGGCTGAGATGGAAGGATTGCCTGAGGACAAATGTTCGAGGTTTGCAGTAAGCAATGATTGTGCCACTATACTCCAGCCTGGGCTACAGGGTAAGACGCTTTCCCTATAATAAGTATAATTAATTAATTAAATAGAACCATTCCAACAGCAGACTGTAATGAAGGTTGCGTGACTGTGCTCACTCTCAGAATCTCTTGCTGTACGATGCTCATGTTTCTTGTGACATGAGATGCTAAAAGCCCCACATGGCATGATGATGAGAGGTGAATGACATGGGGATTGTATGTAGCATTTGCAACTTGCGAAGTGCTTATTCCAGGAACTTTCCATGTAATATTTTCAGATCACAGTGGACCATGCATAACTGAAATCATGGAAAGCAAAACCACAGATTGGAGGGGACTTGCTGAATAAGCCTCTCACAGCATGTGAGCACCACTTTACAGACGAGGAAACCGCAGCCAGAGCGGTCAGGTGGCTGCCATCAGCCACACAGCAAGTCAGGACCTGAGGTGGGACTTGTGCTCCAGTGTGCCCAACTCCAGACAGCAGGGTTGACTCAGAATAGTTCTGTTGTCCAACCCAGTAGTTCTCAAACACCTGGTGGGTGTGTCGACTGCTTGCTGGGTCACATCCTACAGTTTCTGTGTTACTAGGCTAGGGATGGCATATATCTATCTACTAAGTCCCAGGTGGTGCTGGTCAGGACCGCACCAAAAAGCAAGTCAGTGCTGCCCAAGGTACTAACATTTTCTATGTGTTTATTGATTTGTCCATGTGACTGGCTAAGGAGTTGGTGTTAGGGACCCAGAGGGTGAGGACAGTATGGAAAAAGAGAAGCCAGGGAGCGAGGGACGCAGGCCAGCACGCTATCTGAGCTATTCCTACTGGTCCCAGGCAAGGGGCAAGGTGGTAGCCAGGTGGTAGAGGTCGCCTGGTGTCCCACCAATGTGGGATGGGCACCTTGCTTGTCCTCAGGCATATCCCTTCATCTCCCCGCCCCTTGGTTTCCTTATGTGAAATCTAGAGAAATGGTTCCTGTCTTCCCTCTCTCACAACAGGCGGCCAAGGGTGTGGAAGTGCTAGATAAAACACAAGTATGGCTGCCTTGTGATGGAGGTGTCTCAGCCCCAAATCCCATCCCTAGCCAAGCTGAGAATAGCCAAAGCGTGCAGATTCCAGACAGGGCCCAGATCCTCCCCAGTCGGTCCCTGGCATCAGTGCTTCCCCCAAGTTGCCTGAAGCTTTAGAGAAGAAGGCTGCACTTTCCAGTTTCCAAATTTTCTCAGAAACCTTACGGCAGTTGCAAACTAAAAATAAAATGCGAAGTGCCCCAGAAAAACCTTAAAGCTGAGTTCCTGGCCATGAGGGGATGAGAGGTCAGACACACCTCATTATACTCCCTTCCTCTCTGTGGTTTAGGCACAACTGACCAGTGTTAATATTAAAATAGACATCATAAGACTGATAGAGCCGCATGGCAGTAGGATACCAAATTATAAACAGGACCCAAGGCCATGCCAGGCGAGGGTTAAGTCATGCACCCCCTACACTTAAAAGAATAGACTGGCCAGGCATGTGACTCATGGTTATAATCCCAACACTTTGGGAGGCTGAGATGGGAGGATTGCTTAAGCCCAGAAGCTCAATACCAGCCTGGACAACATAGCAAGACCTCATCTCTGCAAAAAAACCAAAAAACTAGCCGGGCATGGTGGCACGTGCCTGTAGTCCCAGCTACTCAGGAGGCTGAGGCTGAACGATCCCGAGCCCAGTAGTTTGAGGCTGCAGTGAGGCTGCATTGTGCCACTTAATGGCATAGTGACTGACTTAAAAAAAAAAAAGAATAAACTGTGTTCTAGCTGCCACAAGGTTTTTCTTTTTCTCTAGCAGTTAAACACTGGTCTTGAGATCAGCA